TAAGACTTTTGGGGCACCCTGTATACTACTGACCCACCAAGTTTTTTCCTTTGTGTTGATGGATTTGCATGGATCCAACCATACTGTAGCTCAGGCTATTTTGCAACCAGTATTAAGGTTGGTCTGGGTCTTGGTACTACCTGAGCATTTCCAAGATAGTTAGCAGGGAGTAGGACACAGTTTGTGACCAGAAAATAAAATAGAACAAACAAGGGACTCAAATTCTGACCTTGACCTCAGTAATAGGAGTCTTGAGCTTCTAAACTAACCAGTTACTTAACAACACATCTTCTGCCATTCAGCCAGGAGGCAAGAACAGGGTCACAACAGTCCCCTGTAGCTGGAGGTGGGAGAGGGCAAGAATACATGAAATCTCTTTCAAATGTGATATCTTCAAAGCACTTAGCACAGTGCCTGGCACATGGTAGGAGCTTAATAAATTCTTATTCCATCTTTTTCATCCCTGAAGTACAAAGGTACTTCTAGCTGTCTCTGGAGAGAAACTGAACTGAAAACAGTTCTGAACTTTGCTAAAAGAATAATGAAAGGGGCAGGAAACTATAGCAGGGCGGGGGGTGGGGTGGAGGGGGAGGAGGTAGGTTAGACCTGGCTCTACTACTTACTAACTATGTGACTTTAGGCAAGTATTCCCTTCTCTAGGCCTCAGTTTCTTCATCTGTAAAATGAGCGAGTTGAACTAGAGGAGCTCTGAGGTCCTTTACAGCTACAGATTCAGGCTCTCATGATCTCAGGGGAATGAGATAGGTGTAGGGAGCCAAAAATGGAAGACAGGAAGCCAGGCATCTTACCTTTGGTGTCTCATAAAAAAAAGAGATATCCTATTCTGGTTCAGGAGAAAAGCCATGGGGATTAGGAGGGTATAACTCTGGGAGGCTACGAGGGCAAGGAAGCAGGACTTACCCGAAGGAAGGAATCCAGTGCCCCATTCTCCATAAATTCGGTTAGGATCATGACGGGCACACTATTGGTGACTACGCCCTCTAGTCGGATGATATTGGGATGTTCAAACTGGCCCATGATGGAGGCCTCACTCAAGAACTCCCTTCTCTGCCTCTCTGTATAGCCACCTTTCAGGGTCTTGATGGCTACGTAGCTTTCCTTCTTTCCTGGGGTTTTCAGTCGTCCCCGACACACCTCTCCAAATTCTCCTGAAGAAAAGGAAGCCAGGTGTCTCACTTTTCTTACCACTGAGGGCCTCGCCTTCCTACACATAACCGTTCACTTTCTCTAGCTCCAGTTCTCGACTTCAATCTCAGAGGCCCAAGCGTCCAGCCTTAAAGCCCCACAACATGGCCATCTCTCCCCTACATTTCCACTCCACGAACAAGTACCCAAGGACCCTGCACCCCAAACTTTTGTCTCTCTTACCTGCTCCAATCACTTCCTCAATCTTGACATAGGATACATCGATCTCCTTTGCAAATTCTCTCACAGCCTCATTGGGGTCTTCATAAGTAAAGGGGTCAATATAGACTTTTGTGCCTGGGAAGCAGGGTGGGGAGCCATCAGTAAGGGACACGATACATTTACTCAACTGTTTCCCTCAAGTACTCTGGTAACAGTGTAACAGAATTATAGGCTTTAGAGCTAGAAGAAACAAGCTAGTTCAACCCCTATTGAAACTGAGGCCCAGAAAATATAACTGTTTGAATCCAACTCTGAATCTTTTCCACTAGTACATAATGCCTCCAGGACTCCAGATATCTTCTCTACAATCTTACTACCCCTCTCCTCCCAAAATCCCAGTATCCTTCCCAAGCCAGGGCCCAGAACTCAGGTATCTAGTTATACCATGCACACACCATGCCCGATGAGATATTGTCCATGCTTGTCCGAATATTCAGCATCTCTCCCACTGCTCTGTTTCCTGCAGTCAATGGGGAAAGAAAAGGGATCAATACTCAGGCTTATCTCAGTTTCCCATGGATAGAGAAAGGGGGAACTCCATATAAAATCCATGTTCTCTTTCCCACTCACTAGAAATGCCATCTGACTTGCCCTGGATCCAGGGGTCAAGTGATTGTTTCAGGGCACAGGGGATGGGAGCTGCTGGTTCTCACCTGAGGCAGAGGACTGCGATGACAACGACCACTAGAATCAGAATAACCCCGACAGCTGCTGTGCCCGAGATCAGTGCCAGCTGGTCCCTCCAGTTCTCATTCTCTATTTTCAGAGGGAACAAGTTTGGAGAGTCAGAATGGGCAGCACCCTTGGGAGAGTGGTATGAAGGAATATTTGGTTTATTGACCTTTCTCTTCCTCCTTTCCCCTCCCCAGCACTGAACAAGAGAAGGATGGTGGTTATGGGTTTGGCCATCAGTGCTCCTCCCCTCCAGCATTCTTCACACAGTATAACTGTATGACGGAAACAGAGACTGAGAAGGACAGAAATAGAGCAAGAAAGCTGAGATGGAAAATGAAGATGGAGATAGATTCAAAGGAAAGGTGGGTGTCAGAGAGAAGTGATCAGGGAGAAACCCACCATAGAGAAAATAATCAAGAGCCCAGAACACCCTCTTCCTACCCTGTTCCTGACCCCACTGTAAATCTCTCACCATCCAGTTTGGTTTGGCTGTCATGCTCACGGCCAAAGGGCCCATAGCCAGCCTCAGAGCGCGCCCGAACTTGAACAAGGTAACTGGTCCCCCTCTTCAACCCTTGTAGCTCTGCTTGGTTTTCTGATGTTTTTAGGAAGCGTACCCCACTTGGTCCATTCCCCATCCATCCAGTGGGGCTGTGCTGGATTATGAGGTCAAGTACCATGAGAAGGTGAGAATTACTCAGATACTGAAGTCCTTGAGGTGGGGCAGAGGACCCCAGGGTTGAATTCCTGTGTTTTAAAGACAGAGTCAGTCATTACTGGCTGAGTATCCTTTGTGTAGTAAGGAAAGGGTGTAGGACGTAGAAAGCATGAACTCCCCACCCTTCTTGAGACAAATAAGATACAAATTGTCAAAACAAGTTGTTCAATTCAGGATAAACAGTAAAAAATGCTTTAGGGGATGCCATCAATGGAGGGAGAGAAAGAGTGGCTGTGTGTTAGGACTTCAGGTTCTCTGTTTAACCTCTTGCTTCAGCTTCCAACCCTCTCCCTGCTAACTCTTCTCCCCTCCATTGATGGCATCCCCTAAAGCATTTTTTACTGTTTATCCTGAATTGAACAACTTGTTTTGACAATTTGTATCTTATTTGTCTCAAGAAGGGTGGGGAGTTCATGCTTTCTACGTCCTACACCCTTTCCTTACTACACAAAGGATACTCAGCCAGTAATGACTGACTCTGTCTTTAAAACACAGGAATTCAACCCTGGGGTCCTCTGCCCCACCTCAAGGACTTCAGTATCTGAGTAATTCTCACCTTCTCATGGTACTTGACCTCATAATCCAGCACAGCCCCACTGGATGGATGGGGAATGGACCAAGTGGGGTACGCTTCCTAAAAACATCAGAAAACCAAGCAGAGCTACAAGGGTTGAAGAGGGGGACCAGTTACCTTGTTCAAGTTCGGGCGCGCTCTGAGGCTGGCTATGGGCCCTTTGGCCGTGAGCATGACAGCCAAACCAAACTGGATGGTGAGAGATTTACAGTGGGGTCAGGAACAGGGTAGGAAGAGGGTGTTCTGGGCTCTTGATTATTTTCTCTATGGTGGGTTTCTCCCTGATCACTTCTCTCTGACACCCACCTTTCCTTTGAATCTATCTCCATCTTCATTTTCCATCTCAGCTTTCTTGCTCTATTTCTGTCCTTCTCAGTCTCTGTTTCCGTCATACAGTTATACTGTGTGAAGAATGCTGGAGGGGAGGAGCACTGATGGCCAAACCCATAACCACCATCCTTCTCTTGTTCAGTGCTGGGGAGGGGAAAGGAGGAAGAGAAAGGTCAATAAACCAAATATTCCTTCATACCACTCTCCCAAGGGTGCTGCCCATTCTGACTCTCCAAACTTGTTCCCTCTGAAAATAGAGAATGAGAACTGGAGGGACCAGCTGGCACTGATCTCGGGCACAGCAGCTGTCGGGGTTATTCTGATTCTAGTGGTCGTTGTCATCGCAGTCCTCTGCCTCAGGTGAGAACCAGCAGCTCCCATCCCCTGTGCCCTGAAACAATCACTTGACCCCTGGATCCAGGGCAAGTCAGATGGCATTTCTAGTGAGTGGGAAAGAGAACATGGATTTTATATGGAGTTCCCCCTTTCTCTATCCATGGGAAACTGAGATAAGCCTGAGTATTGATCCCTTTTCTTTCCCCATTGACTGCAGGAAACAGAGCAGTGGGAGAGATGCTGAATATTCGGACAAGCATGGACAATATCTCATCGGGCATGGTGTGTGCATGGTATAACTAGATACCTGAGTTCTGGGCCCTGGCTTGGGAAGGATACTGGGATTTTGGGAGGAGAGGGGTAGTAAGATTGTAGAGAAGATATCTGGAGTCCTGGAGGCATTATGTACTAGTGGAAAAGATTCAGAGTTGGATTCAAACAGTTATATTTTCTGGGCCTCAGTTTCAATAGGGGTTGAACTAGCTTGTTTCTTCTAGCTCTAAAGCCTATAATTCTGTTACACTGTTACCAGAGTACTTGAGGGAAACAGTTGAGTAAATGTATCGTGTCCCTTACTGATGGCTCCCCACCCTGCTTCCCAGGCACAAAAGTCTATATTGACCCCTTTACTTATGAAGACCCCAATGAGGCTGTGAGAGAATTTGCAAAGGAGATCGATGTATCCTATGTCAAGATTGAGGAAGTGATTGGAGCAGGTAAGAGAGACAAAAGTTTGGGGTGCAGGGTCCTTGGGTACTTGTTCGTGGAGTGGAAATGTAGGGGAGAGATGGCCATGTTGTGGGGCTTTAAGGCTGGACGCTTGGGCCTCTGAGATTGAAGTCGAGAACTGGAGCTAGAGAAAGTGAACGGTTATGTGTAGGAAGGCGAGGCCCTCAGTGGTAAGAAAAGTGAGACACCTGGCTTCCTTTTCTTCAGGAGAATTTGGAGAGGTGTGTCGGGGACGACTGAAAACCCCAGGAAAGAAGGAAAGCTACGTAGCCATCAAGACCCTGAAAGGTGGCTATACAGAGAGGCAGAGAAGGGAGTTCTTGAGTGAGGCCTCCATCATGGGCCAGTTTGAACATCCCAATATCATCCGACTAGAGGGCGTAGTCACCAATAGTGTGCCCGTCATGATCCTAACCGAATTTATGGAGAATGGGGCACTGGATTCCTTCCTTCGGGTAAGTCCTGCTTCCTTGCCCTCGTAGCCTCCCAGAGTTATACCCTCCTAATCCCCATGGCTTTTCTCCTGAACCAGAATAGGATATCTCTTTTTTTTATGAGACACCAAAGGTAAGATGCCTGGCTTCCTGTCTTCCATTTTTGGCTCCCTACACCTATCTCATTCCCCTGAGATCATGAGAGCCTGAATCTGTAGCTGTAAAGGACCTCAGAGCTCCTCTAGTTCAACTCGCTCATTTTACAGATGAAGAAACTGAGGCCTAGAGAAGGGAATACTTGCCTAAAGTCACATAGTTAGTAAGTAGTAGAGCCAGGTCTAACCTACCTCCTCCCCCTCCACCCCACCCCCCGCCCTGCTATAGTTTCCTGCCCCTTTCATTATTCTTTTAGCAAAGTTCAGAACTGTTTTCAGTTCAGTTTCTCTCCAGAGACAGCTAGAAGTACCTTTGTACTTCAGGGATGAAAAAGATGGAATAAGAATTTATTAAGCTCCTACCATGTGCCAGGCACTGTGCTAAGTGCTTTGAAGATATCACATTTGAAAGAGATTTCATGTATTCTTGCCCTCTCCCACCTCCAGCTACAGGGGACTGTTGTGACCCTGTTCTTGCCTCCTGGCTGAATGGCAGAAGATGTGTTGTTAAGTAACTGGTTAGTTTAGAAGCTCAAGACTCCTATTACTGAGGTCAAGGTCAGAATTTGAGTCCCTTGTTTGTTCTATTTTATTTTCTGGTCACAAACTGTGTCCTACTCCCTGCTAACTATCTTGGAAATGCTCAGGTAGTACCAAGACCCAGACCAACCTTAATACTGGTTGCAAAATAGCCTGAGCTACAGTATGGTTGGATCCATGCAAATCCATCAACACAAAGGAAAAAACTTGGTGGGTCAGTAGTATACAGGGTGCCCCAAAAGTCTTA